GTTAGTAACATCATTTCCATTTTATGTTACTGAGAGAAGTTGGAGAAGGTTTCGAAGCTAGAGGAAAAGAGAAGTTAGCTCTTGAGTGATTTGGAACGATTTTCAATTACCAAGACCTTAAGGTAACACATTTCTAACCTTTATATACCCTTTTGTAGGCCTTTTTATGCATTGGTATAGCTTGTATTAGTTTTATGAAGTTTATGAGCATGATTATGGTAAATATTTGCCTTATGTGTTTTAAGTTGTATAACGACTTCTTATGGCCTTAATCAAATAAGACTTTAATAATAGTTGGGGACCTCGTTAGAGCTCTTAATGTGGTATAGAAGAGATTAAATATGCCCAAATAGAGCATTTTCGAGTATCAGTAATGGTACTAGAAGAACAATACCAATATTGTTCTTAGGCAAGGCAAAAATAAGTGGGCTTTAAGATAGGAGTATCGATACTCATGCATAGAGTTTCGATACCAAGGGGTCGGTCTCGATGCCTGAAGGAGGGGTTTCGAAAATGATTTTCCATAATGTAATTTTGCTACCGATACTCATGGGAGTATCGATATCAAGGGTAGAGTATTGATACTCCCCATAAGGGTATCGATACTACCCCTTCTCCTATAGTGGTTGTAAGCTGGCAAGTAACGATACTCAAAAGGGAGTATCGATACTCTTGTGTCAGTATCGATATTGAGAGTATCAGTATCGATACTATAGCCCCTTCCTAAGCAAGAAATTCATGTGAAATTAGAGGTAGTGTTGAGGGACCCTAAGTATCCTTAAATTTTCAATAAGACATCAAGTGAGAACAATATTAACAACGTTAAATTTCACCTAAAAACCCTATAACGTACGAAACTATAAGACTTGTCTTGTGAGATGTTCAGAAAACGAGACATACACCCGAATCACTCTAAAAATAAGGGAACGATTGTATGTTAGGTTCTAGCCAACCCCAAGATAGTGTACTAGACACTTCTTTGCTTACTGAGCGTAGATGCCCCAAGTCTCGATAGAGTAAGTTATCCGAGTGTGTAGTTTCTGATGTAGAATTTTGGATCCTACCCTAGGTAGGCTAGAGAGGTGTGTGAATTCTGAGATGTAGCCCCTCAGCCGTACCATGATGCCTACTTCTGTGTGTATGATTTAGCTTAGCATACTCGTATGCTAATAATATGTTGTAAGCATGTGCATTAGAAAATACATGTAGTATAGTTTGGTTATTAGTGTGGCGCTGAGCTTGTGAGCTCAACTTTCAGAATTTATTTCCGTGCACAGGTTCGTAGGAGGAGCTTTTGTGGAGCCATCCCATAGACAACCTTTCAGATCGCTGTCAGCTTTTGAGTATGTCTCGAATTTATCTTAGTGTGCATGTATGGTATATAGACCCTTATATATTCGAGTCCTAACAATGTATTTTTAGAATTATTGTGAACTTAAATTTAATTATTTTGGGAGTTCCAATAATTAAAACTAAATATTATGTATTTAATTGTTATGGATGAATTTTTAAGTGTATGGTATGTTGTTTTGAAAAGAAATTTTTTGGGTCAAGCTATTCTGATGGTCTCGTGTAATACTTTATTTGTCGATCTTCGGATCGTGCTAGATTAAGATGTTACAATAAAACTATTATAAAATTCAAGAGTCGAAATAATCAAATTATAATTAATGATCTTATTACTAAAGAACTTTGGAGTCCTAAAGATGTTAAATGGACTAAGCTATAGCGTCTTCCTATCCCGGAGCGTATCAAACACTTCCTTTGGATTTCCTATCGAGATCGATTACTAACGAATGTAAATCGATGTGCGCGAAACCTTACCAATGATCCTTTATGTCAAATACGCGGATCAACTAATGAAACTTTGTTGCATGTGTTGCGAGATTGCAAACAAACTGCTTCTATTTGGCAATTGATCATTCGCCAACAGCAACTTCAGGATTTCTTCACTCTAGAATCTAATGAATGGCTTATGATGAATCTTGATTCCAATCAACTTTTTGCGGGTTCAAAAATCCCTTGGAAAACTTTATTTGCTTCCCTAGCGTGGCAGATCTGGAAGCGAAGAAATTCATCCATATTCTCCAATCTGACCCTCTCTAATGATCAATTACTCAATCACAGCAAAAACTGGGCTAATTATTTCATCACTACAACGCCTGATTCCTCAACTGGTACTGCTTTTCCCCGCCCGGAACTTATTCAATGGCGACCAGCGCCTGCTGGCTGGTTTACGCTCAACACGAATGGCGCAGTTCATCATACCTCCTCCCTAGGATCGGCAGGTGGCCTCATCCGGAACAAAGATGGAGATTGGATCATCGGATTTAATAAAGCGGTTAGTATTTCCTCCCCATTACAAGCCGAACTCTGGGCGATTCTTAAAGGACTTCAATTAGCGTGGTCCCAAAGACTCGAGTGCCTTCAATGCCAAACGGACTGTGCGGAAGCTCTAGCACTTGTGACTTCTCCAATAGCCGCATCCAGCCCAGTGTCTCTTGTCAGATCTATTGCGAGCCTTATTTCAAAACAATAGAAGATTGAATTCATTCTCATATGTCGTGAAGCCAACGCTGCAGCAGACTTCCTTGCAAAATCTATCATCGTTTCAAATGATCAACCATGCATATACATTGAACCTAGGCCTGTAAATGAACGTTTAGCGAACCGTTCATGAACCGTGCGGCGGGAAGTTCGTTTATGTGTGTTTATTTATTAAATGAACGAACATGAACAAGATTTTGTGTTCGTTTAATTAAATGAACGAACATGAACATAGGTCTCGTTCGTTCATTTACGTTCATGAACGTTCGGTTATGTTCGTTCGGTTATGTTTGGTTATGTTCATTCATTTATGTTTAACTCAATCTTCTTAAATCAATTTTGGTGACCAATTTGTAAGTATCTTAAAAATATTAATTAATTTGATATTCTGATGACCAATTCCATAATTAACCCAATTTTATTTGGAGATTAAATCCAATATGTTAACTCGTGAGGCACCTCACACCTATATTCATTTCCCCCTTTTTCCCCAAACCCTAGTGTTCACTAGAGAGTGGAGACGATCGCTGAAAGCTTCAAAATAAGTTATATTATAGTGCAATCTGAAGTTTTACAGGTATGCTTTCATCTCTTTCTCTGTTTTATTTGACTTAATAGTTGATATGTAAAGTTATTGCCGGTATCTTCACATCTAAAACTCAAGAAAACATTATACTTCTTTCTAGAAATAGATGGGAAGATAAAGGTAACAATCGGAAGTATATGAGCATCAGTAAAGAGAAAAATATATAGAATTTTCCAGAAAACAAAACAAAGGTTTCTATGTAATTTCTGCAAAAGAGTGTAATAGCGGAAGTAATGAGTTTTCCAGGAAGAACCCATTAATAAGTAGAAAATACACTTTGACAATGAACTTTTTTTTCCATAGTTCTTGTGTGACATTTAGTTGTGGAGTAGACTTTAAGTACGTTAAAATTTTGAATGGTGGTTTAGCAATAATATCAGTTACGATATGTAGCATCGAAGGGATTTCGGATCTATGTTATTGCCTTGTAGTCCAATTTGTACCGTTCGAAATCTTCATGCTGTTAAATTTTCTACCAACGGAAATGACCATTATTAACAAACTTCACTAAAGTCTGACATTGATGTCACAAAACTTTTAGCCGACGAATTTATTAGAATAACGTAGTGGAAAATGATTGTTCATATGTAATCATGGACCACTAAGATAAATGTTATATCGTTAAATTAAAGTCGTGTGAATCATTTAATATCTATAAAAGATCGATCGAAATATTTGATATCTTCAAACATTTCATCACTGCTAATCAGCTCTTACGCTATTTATCACTGTAGATTTAGTTGATTTGCATTGTCGACTATTTTTCATGAAAGAACAATGGAAGGTAGGGTTTCCAACGTTTATGTTCGTTTATGTTCGTGTTCATTTATGTTCGTGTTCGTTTATGTTCGTGTTCGTTTATATTCGTTTATTTATTAAATGAACGAACATGAACAAGTTATATTCCTTAATAAACGAACATGAACAAAAAAAAATTTATTTGCTTATGTTCGTGTTCGTTTATGTTCGTTTATTTATTAACATGAACATACATTCGTTCGTGTGCGTTCGGTTCGTTTACAACCCTAATTGAACCTCCCCAGGAGATAATACCTCATATTGATTATGACCTTCATGGTCCTGCTTTTATTCGCACTTAGTATTTCATTGTAATGGTTTCCTTTTAATTATGTTCGTTTATGTTCGTGTTCATTTATGTTCGTGTTCGTTTATGTTCATGTTTGTTTATATTCGTTTATTTATTAAATGAACGAACATGAACAAGTTATATTCCTTAATAAACGAACATGAACAAAAAAAATTTATTTGTTTATGTTCGTGTTCGTTTATGTTTGTTTATTTATTAACATGAACATACCTCCGTTCGTGTGCGTTCGGTTCGTTTACAACCCTAATTGAACCTCCCCAGGAGATAATACCTCATATTGATTATGACCTTCATGGTCCTGCTTTTATTCGCACTTAGTATTTTATTGTAATGGTTTCCTTTTAATTAAAAAAAGTGATAATCTTTATTTTCTCGTATCTTCTTAGTTATAAGTTCTAGACGACTTGGTGCTTTTTTTTCTCTTTTTTTTCCTAAATAAAATTAAATTTAATATATATATACATCTACCGAACCCACCTTTATGACCTTCCTTATGTTGGAATGCTAACGAAAAAAGTAATTAATTTTAGTAATATTTCAATGTAAATATTTTTTTTATCAATTATGCAATAATTATTCAACGTACTTAACCTCCTGATTAAGCACTGAATCCTTTACAAGGATATCATTTTAGGAATTAATCAGCAATGGCAAGTGGAAAATACTCACAATTGACTCTGTTTTCGTATTAATTAAGGAGGAGGCATTTAAAGCCATAGAAGAAACAGAGAGGTGAAAAGAAAAAGCATAGCGAAGGAGAAGCAAAAGCAAAAAAGGAATGGATTACCTGGGTATCGATCTTAGCTGCGCATTTGGGTCTCTAAAGAATGGCAGTTTCCCTCCCCAGGACTGTTTGCTCCCTCTCATCTCCAAACTCCTCGGCTATGCCATCGTCGCCGCCTCCACCACCGTCAAACTCCCTCAGGTCTCTTTCTCTTTTTCCCTTTCTTCTGCTACCAAACCCCCTTTTTATCTGATTGGCCTTTTGGGTTTTTCCACTGCATTGTAAATATCAAATCTTTCACTAATTCATCGCTGATCTCAGAGATAAATTTTCTCTTTCCTTGATTTTTTATTGCTAAATGTATTGAGATTGTTTAATTTTCTTATAAGTAGTGATCTCTTGTGTAGAAATGAGATCAATAAGTGAATTTTATGTGACTTCTGAAGTGAGATCAATTACTGTATTTTTTTATGAATGTGTTATTTGATTAATGCTGCTAATGTCGTAACCGTTGCAGATAATGAAAATTTTGAAGCATAGGAGTGTTAGAGGGCTTAGTCGTGTAGCCTTTGAGCTTGAAGTAGTTGGTTATACCATTGCTTTGGCATATTGCCTTCAAACAGGACTACCCTTTTCAGCTTATGGGGAGTTGGTATTTCTTTTGATCCAAGGTAAATCTAGCCTTTATTTATTTATTTTTTCTGTCGTTAATGTGAACTTCACTTTTGTCATAGAAGAATTTTTTTTTTAAATCTCGGTCATCTCTTTTAAAAGGATAATGGGAATTGGAGTCATTTTTCTTATTGACTGTGTGCTTTGAATGCTATTGCATTGATACATGCTAATGAAAAATTGATTTGTTGTGTAACATGCATGTTAATATCCTGCAATCACAAACCAGTTTCATGTTTCTTTCTCCATTACCATTTCTCCTGCTGGTATGTGTCTTATGGTACTTGTGCATTCATGCATGCATGGTCTGCATGTGTGTGGCTGCATTTTGGTAGATAAATTAGAACTGGAACTGAAAAATTAATATGCTATGTATACATCATTTTTAAATCAACCAGTATATTTTCTGAACTCGTTGAACTCTCTACTTCTGTAATATGATTGCAAACTTCATATCTTTGCCACGCTACAAACATGTTCATCTTTTGGTTGGTTTAGTTGTTCTTTTTTTCTTTTCATCTTCTTACTATTATCTGAGAAAATTAATATTGCCTCCTGAAATGTTTGATCTGATTTTTCTTCTCTTGCAGCAATAATCTTAGTTGTGGTTATTTACTACTTTTCACAACCCCTCGGCATCTCAACATGGACCAGAGCACTGCTGTATCCTGCTTGTTTCTCTGTTATATTTTTCTTTTCTATTGTTTGGAGATTCTTTTTAACCTATGATCTGTTGGAAATATATATGTTTCCTTAACATGTTGGTGTTTCAGATTCTGTGCTATAGCGCCAACGGTCTTAGCTGGTAAAATTGATCCTCTTCTTTTTGAAGCTCTATATGTGAGTGGCATCTTTTACAGTCCATACTGTATCTGTAAAACATTCTTTTGTACATAGTATGTGGCATTCCTCTCTGTTATTTTACCTTGTCTCTGTCATCAACTAATGGCTATGAGAATAATATTATTAACAGACATCTGCATATATAATATATACTTCTTAGTAACTTTATTTTTTCAATTATAGAGCTTTGAATGGACAACACTATAATAATGTGGACATGACCTGCTACAGGTATCCCAGCATGCAATATTTTTTGTTGCCAGGGTGCCACAAATATGGAAGAACTTTTCTGTAAGTATTACTTGAATTTTCCATATTGAGTTTGTCCTTCTCTTAAACTGTACAAATTTATTCACCAACATTTTGATTTTTGAAATTGCCACAGCTCCATAAATTTCCTTATTAATTAAAGGGAAGGAAGGTGTAAACATTTCTCTGATATATTTTTTACAGCTCATATCTGTATAAGGCTTTGATTCTTGTTGTTCCTGGCTTCATATTTGCAGTTTGTCTGCCCAACCCGTCGGGGGTTGTTATTTTGTAATCCTTAAATGCTGTAAATGGTATAACCTGTAAATCATAGTTGCTGTGGTTTTGCCTCTAAGGTATTTACTGTTGATAGTTTGAAAACAAAGTTGTACTATGTTCGAAGAGTGGGAAATCATCAATGCTCACTTCTTGTTGCACTGTTTCATCACAACCTATTTATGATCATAATTACTAAAATAAAAGGCTTCTTTTTTAGTAAATTCAGTGAACTTCTGACTCAATAGATTCTATCAAGTAAATTGCTATTTGTCTAACTAGATATTACTAAATCCAGGTCAGTTCCCACCAAGTGATAATGAGCTCCTCTGTTCCTTCAGCTTACTTTCTTATTACATGTCCATCTTCTGTGACTTTCTACTTTTTATACAATCTAACTTGTTAGCTAACTCTTTATTGTTTTTAATGAACAATTATTCTTTGAGAAGAACAAAAGCACTGGGGAGCTCAGCTTCTTAACATGCTTAATGAATACTGCTGGCTCCCTTGGTAAGTACATATTGTTTATAGAGCTGTTGGATTATCCATGTTTTCTTTTTTGTTCGATTAAGTTGGAGTATCAGTGTCCATAGTGCTGTAGAGGTAGCGTTTTCCTGTACCAATGACAAGGCATAAACTAAACTCATTTGATTTGTTTCTTTTGCAGCGAGAGTATTTACCAGCGTCCAGGAAAAAGCACCACCAAGTGGTATCCTTTTTCTATTATACTTTCATCGTCTAATTTTTTTCTTATAAACTTGTTTAAAAAATTTCCCATGTCTCATTGTTTGTTTTGTTCTCCATTCTCATTTGGAGCAATCTGCTTCTGTCTAAAACAAAATTTCTTCCTCTTTTTCTGGGAAACCATAAAATAGATCAGAGAACTTCCAATTTTACTAAAAAAATGGCAGTGTAAACTCATTTTGTACACATGCCATGCCATGAAAAAACCCGCATGTACACTGCTGGTTTATACATTTGGTGTCCTTGACTCCCTTGAAGTTCTTGCGGGCTCGATACTTGGTATCGTGACAAATGGCACAATCCTGGGTCAAATTATTGTATATCAAAAGCCTAGAGTAGAGAATGAGAAGAAAGCAGATTAAATTGGTACTATGTTCCACTATAATTCTGTGGAAGGTTTAGATCGGTGTATCAGTGAAAAGTTCAGATTGGTGTATCGGTGAAAAAATAGCCATCAATTTATAGTTGACAACACACTGAATTTGAACGCCTTGTGGATGATTTGGTTTAGATACTGTTAGTAAATGGGATTCTTCAACTTTTATATGCTTTTCTTTGTGAGTCGATATGAATCATGCTGCCTTTTCCTTCTAGTCGGCACCTCAGCTATTTTCATTAATATTGAGTACTTGACATCTTTGTTTCTCATCTCTCTCTCAACCATATCTAAATCTTTTTTGTCCCTTCAAAATATAAATATATAAATTATTTCATTGTAAAGTAACAGGATTAGATCAAAATGGAGTGGAGACCAGATATTTGAAACATGAAAGTTAATGGAAGAAAAAAGCATGATTAGATGCGGGTTCTGGAAATTTGGAATGGTCAATGGACCTCAAACAACGTTCAGCTGCTCAATTGTAGTCCTCTTCTATACACATAATAGAACCAAGTTCAGATGAAATCGTAATGACATACCAATCCGGATTTTTCGCATTGATCTTCATGCATTCAATTAGTTAATATAACACAGACAAGTGGATAATCGCTGCAATGATTCAAACACACATGTTGTAAATGACTTTGAGAACCATATGATTACTTTAAGTCAAGCAGTTGCGGTACACAAAACTTGGAATCTAATTGGAATACTTGTCATGATATGCATCAAGAAAGAATCGGAAGCTAAACGAATACAATGATCTAACTACTGTACAAGGGTGTTGCCGTCAGAAGAAATATAGGAAAATAGAAGAGAAACTGTGACTTTTGAGGATGAAGATTCAACTCTAAAGACAATCAAACAGCAAATAGGCATTGAATTAAATTCCGAAGCATTGGATCCGATACTACAACGCACAACAAACTAAACATTTCAATAACCAAAATGCTTTTTCTCCCACCTTTGCGAAATTAACTATGAGATGTGCTGCCTTTACTGTTTGCGAACCTTCTCAGAGCGCAGGCCACTATACTTCTCCCACTCAAAAGCCCTAGCAGCTTATTCGATGTAGATCGACCTGTGCTGCTTGAAGCAATAGCAGAAGCACCAATTTGACTTGCTACGATGGGAGGAAATTCAGCTGCATTATCTTCTGCCCCGACATTACTGGCACTCGCATCTAATTGTTCCCCCGTATCCAAATTAATTGCGAGTGATCCTCTACTTGCTCTTAACCATTCCACTCCCTCTGATGTTACTCCTCTGCATTTCTTCACCTTCACTTTGATTAAATTCGGACAACCACTAGCAAGTGCTTCCATTCCATGGTCTGAAACAGGACAACTCTTAATACAAAGCTTCTTCAAAGCTATACATTTCGCAGCAATACATGAAATCTCTGCGTCACCCACTGCATCACTACCGCATAAAGCTAACCGTTCCAAGTTCTGACAATTTGAAGCTAACATTCCCAAACTTATGTTCGTCAGATTAACGCCAATAAGAACTAATTCTTGTAAATTAAGGCATGAGTTTGCAACAGCAATTAAGCCTTGGTCGCCTATTCGATTGGCCTTCCATCCATCAATGTGAAGCTTCCTTAACAATTTACATTTCCCAGCAACAGCTCCAAGTCCAGCGTTCGTACACTCTGGAGTCTTAACGAGATGAAGAATTTCCAGGTTTGAACAGTTGGATATGGCATGGAGACCGATGTCGCTTATTTGAACCCGTTCCATATGGATCTCTACGATACCCGTGACCCGATTAACTATAAGAGGGAAAAGCTTATCCCAATCACCCGAGCATCTAAAAAGTTTTAAGGATTTCAGATTCTTGGCACCAATAATAAGCGGACCAAAGCACTGTCCATTATAAAGCTCTTTTAAGCAAATTGTTTTCAACGCTGCCGCCGCCACCCCTGGCCCTATCGGCTCAGCTGCAGCTCCGTCTATGATGCCACGAAGTCGTTTCACGGAGAGTTCCTCGAGAGCTGGACAGTGGTCGAGCACGGCGTTCATGCCTTTAGCTCCGAAAGTGCAAGATCCACACGAAAGCTTCTTTAGGCCCGTACAGTTCTTAGCGAACGCCAACATTCCGGCATCGGTCAAGTCACGGCAAGCTCGGAGCTTAAGGCGAGTCAAGTTCCGGCAGCGCTCCGAGATTAGAACAAGCGCTTCATCCCCGATACCAACAGATCTACGGTCACATTTCAGGGCCAGTTTCGTGACAGCATCAAAGCGAGAGAAGATGGAAGGAATCAAAGGTTGCAGATCTGACTGGGCGTTGAGGGAAAGACGGTGACGGCTCTGTCCTTCAGTCCTCAACCACCGCCTGCAAACAAGAGAGCAGCGATTCCGGTCACCGGGGCTAAGAAACTGGAAAATGCAAGCCAAACACTCGTCGGGTAGAACTGAGATGAAATCAGATAATCCATCCATGCTACTTCGTTCAAGCTCTTCAGCTTCCTCAGATTGCATCGGAGAGATCAGAGCCGTTGATTTCGATTTTGAAAGTTGGATACGGTTACAATCCCCACGGCTGGTGTGTTTCATCGTCGACAGTGCTTGACCCATAAACAACAACAAATACCTAAACCTAAAGAAGCAAAAAGCAAATAGAAAAACGGCCACAGGTTAATTATCCTGGGCGAAACCTAAAGACCATTTTTGGCTCCGCACCGGTTTTGTTCTTGGAAAAGACCAGCCGGACGGACCTCACTTGGCCTTTTGTCTCGATTTTGTTTGGTTGGTCTCGTCTTTCTTTCTGCACAAAATAATAGCCTTCCCTCCACTCTCAAGTTTCTATACGTCTTTCCCATCCTCATAGTAATACTTTTCGTGAACCCCACCGGGTAGTTCTCCGCTGCGGCGCTTAAAAAACGGTTAATATATGATGTGACCGATTAAATAAATAATCGATTAAAATTTAAACTGGTTATTTTATATTATTTAACTGAAAATATTATAAAGTATAATAACATACTAGGTAACGCTTATATAATGTAATAGGTAGCGCTTATATTTACCTATTTTATAAGTAAACCGGTATATTTATACCGATAGCATTACAAATTTACCTATTACATTATAATATGTTGAAAGTGTCCATACTTTTTATAAAAATGATCGATACTTTTTTAAAAGTTATATAATTTATGTTTAAATTTTTTTTAATATTGTTTTATGTTTTCCACCTACAATATTAATTTAATAATTTCATTTGCATAAAAAATTATTTGATTGTTTTGATATTTTATAAAATATTATTTAGAATTTAAATTTAACAATATTAACCAAAGATAATAATAAATATGTAATATATATGTTTATTGTTTTTAATTTAATAATAATATATATCGTAACGTAAAAAAATAAATCATTAGACGCCTATAATTACTAAATTAATATCTTAAAACTCACTCAAAAGATAACCTTAAATTAATGTTTTCCACAGTGAAAAAAGTATGGACACTTTTATAAAAAGGATAGATATTTTACAATATAAGCACTACCTATTACATTATATAAACGCTACCTATTACATTATATAAGCGCTACCTATTACATCATATTTTTACATATTATATTGAAAGTGTCTATACTTTTTATAAAAATGATCGATACTTCTTTTAAAGTTATGTAATTTATGTTTCAATTTTTTTTAATAGTGTTTTATGTTTTCCACCTACAATATTAATTTAATAATTTCATTTGCACAAAAAATTATTTGATTGTTTTGATATTTTATAAAATATTATTTAGAATTTTTAATTTAATAATAATATATATCGTAACGTAAAAAATAAATCATTAAACGCCTATAATTACTAAATTAATATCTTAAAACTCACTCAAAAGATAACCTTAAATTAATGTTTTCCACAGTGAAAAAAATATAGACACTTTTATAAAAAGGATAGATACTTTACAATATAACCACTACCTATTACATTATATAAACGATACCTATTACATTATATAAGCGCTACCTATTACATCATATTTTTACCTATTATATTGAAAGTGTTCATACTTTTTATAAAAAAGATCGATACTTCTTTTAAAGTTATGTAATTTATGTTTCAATTTTTTTTAATAGTGTTTCATGTTTTCCACCTACAATATTAATTTAATAATTTCATTTACACAAAAAATTATTTGATTGTTTTGATATTTTATAAAATATTATATAGAATTTAAATTTAACAATAATATATATCGTAACGTAAAAAATAAATCATTAGACGCCTATAATTACTAAATTAATATCTTAAAACTCACTCAAAAGATAACCTTAAATTAATGTTTTCCACAGTGAAAAAAGTATAGACACTTTTATAAAAAGGATAGATACTTTACAATATAACCACTACCTATTACATTATATAAACGATACCTATTACATTATATAAGCGCTACCTATTACATCATATTTTTACCTATTATATTGAAAGTGTTCATACTTTTTATAAAAAGGATCGATACTTTTTTTAAAAGTTATGTAATTTATGTTTCAATTTTTTTAACAGTGTTTCATGTTTTCCACCTACAATATTAATTTAATAATTTCATTTACACAAAAAATTATTTGATTGTTTTGATATTTTATAAAATAATATTTAGAATTTAAATTTAACAACATTAACCAAAGATAATAATAAATATGTAATATATATGTTTATTGTTTTTAATTTAATAATAATATATACCGTAACGTAAAAAATAAATCATTAGACGCCTATAATTACTAAATTAATATCTTAAAACTTACTCAAAAGATGTATATACCTAAATATGTAGTTATTGTACATACCTAAATTTAATGATAATATATACTTGTAGTTATTGTACATCCTAAATATGTTCTGCGAATTTAATGTTGTACCCACCCTTTAACTACCACTACCAATGCCACATCCTATTGAAAGCAGCACGACTGAAACATGTTCAAAATGAACCTTTGCTTACATCTCCATCAACTCCTGGAGCACTGAACTTGCACAACAAAATTTTTGCCATGGATAATACTGATGTAGACAATGTTAAGCTAACCGAGGAATGCCATGAAGTACATAATGTTGATGAATCTGACAGATTGGTTGGTCAGCTCTTCTGTTCACGTGATCAAGCTTGGTACTTTTACAAGGGATTCGCACGGGAACATGGGTTTAGTGCACGTAAGGGAACAACACGGCTTGACGTGGAAGGGAA